GTGTTCATTATTTGACTTGAATAATCCACTGTAATCATTTTTGTATTACAATGTTTGTAGCAGAGGCTATTTCCCCAAAATAAAATAACCAGAAGAGCCTATTCTTAATGTTGTCTTCTTGGTTATTATTTTGGGGGGGCCATGCAGACCCGTCAGATTTTTAAGGGGGCCTCGGTGTTACTGAGTTTGGGAATGGCTGGCTTAGAGGGTTGAGGCCTATGCAGTAACAGTACAGGGGACAGAGCATCTCCTTGGTAGATACCACATTTGATGGACACTTGTGCGAGCGGCTTGCAATTTGCCTCAAGGGTGGTCTTCCACATTCCCATCGAGTTTGCAACGAAGTCCCTTAGAGCCCTGTTGATATTGTACAACTTCAAGCATTCCATGATCCATGTGTGTGGCATTGAGTCGTAGGCTTTCTGGTAATCAATCCAGGCTGTGCACAGGTTGGTGTGTCGTGACCGGCAGTCTTGGGCGACTGTTCTGTCAACCAGGAGCTGGTGTTTGGCTCCTCTGGTGTCTCTACCAATGCCCTTCTGTGCTGTGCTCATGAATTGTTCCATATGCCCACTTATCTTAGCCGCAATGATGCCTGACATGAGCTTCCATGTTGTGGAGAGACAGGTTATTGGCCGGTAGTTGGAGGGGACTGCACCCTTGACAGGGTCCTTCATGATCAGGACCGTTCGCCCTTTCTGTTAGCCATTCTGGGTGAGTCCCATCTCTCAGCAGCTGGTTCATTTGTGCTGCTAGGCGCTCATGGAGTGATGTGAGTGTCCTTAGCCAGTAGGCATGGACCATATCAGGGCCAGGTGCTGTCCAGTTTTTCATACCTGAGACTCTTTCTCGGATGTCTGCCTCTGTGATGGTAACTGAGTTCTGTTCTTAGAGGTGGCTGTGCTCCTCTCTCAGGGACACCAGCCATTGTGCACTGCTGTTATGTGCTGCATCCTTCTCCCATATGTTCTTCCAGAACTGCGAAGGTGTACGCCACTGAGCGTACACCTTCGCAGGTTGTGTTGCGAACAGCCTGTTCACCCTTCTGGCTTCATTCTCTTTAGTGTACCTCTGTAGGCGGCTGGCCAGGGCTTGGAGCCTTTGTTTGGCAGTTTCGAGTGCTTCAGGTTCTGGCTGTACTTTCTGGGTACTGGTCTTTTCATTGCACCTCTCTGGGCCTTGGTCAATTGACTCACTTCTCTCCGAGCCGCCTTGATCTTAGCCTCCAACCGTCTTTTCCATGGTGGGTATTGTCCATGGCTCTCATGGTTGCTTTTATAGCCAAGCATCTCTAGGATCACTGCTGCTGAAGTGTATATCAGCTCATTGGTTTCAGTGATTGTGGTGGTAGGTATTGCCCTCAATGCTGCATTCGCGCTTTCTATGAGAACCTTAGGTGGTACTTAACACAACCGCTGTAACCGGTGTCTTTGCCCTGTGCCCATTCTAGCCATGATCTTAGCTTTCAGGTCAGTCGCTGCCTCGTTCAGCGTTGTCGGTTCCATTGGGGCTATGTAGTAGTAGTAATCTTTAGTAATCTTTATTTATATACCACCTTTTCACTGCACATCGGAGTCTCAAAGCGGTTTACCATTGTTATTTTTGGGAGTGGGGGTGCCAGTACAGGAGGCACATGCCAGACCTATTGTACATATTTTTAGTGGTAGGGGAAACCGGAGCACCCGGAGGAAACCTACGCAGACACGGGGAGAACATGCAAACTCCACTCAGAAAGGCCCTGGTCCAACCGGGATTCGAACCCAGGACCTTCTTGCTGAGAGGCGAGAGTGCTATCCACTCAGCCACCGTGCCGCCCAATGTGTACCCAATATCTGGTTGGGGAGTTGCAGTTGGTGGGATCTCCCCTCTAACCTCAGCAACTGTGGCATCATACATGTGTTGTACCTCATCGATCTCAAGCTGTGATAGCAGTTGCCGTTTGTGGATGTTGGAGCATTGAGCTACCAGTTGTTTCGGGGTCAACTGTGACTGTGGGTTTCGAAGTAACCATTCAGCCCACATTCTCTGTATGTAACCTCTTTGGCCAGGGTTACTCGAGTAGTAGCATTCCAACAGAGCCCTGTTATCGGATGTCGCCCACTTTTGCCTTGTTTTATATATATATATATATATATATATATATATATATATATATATACAGTGCCTTGCGAAAGTTTTCGGCCCCCTTGAACCTTTCAACATTTCGCCACATTTCAGGCTTCAAACATAAAGATATAAAAAATATTTTTTTTGTCAAGAATCAACAACAAGTGGGACACAATTGTGAAGTGGAACAAAATTTATTGGATAATTTAAACTTTTTAACTAATTTAAACTAATTTAAATTTAAACTTTTTTAACAAATAAAAAACTGAAAAGTGGGGCGTGCAATATTATTCGGCCCCCTTGCACTAATACTTTGTAGCGCCACCTTTTGCTGCAAATACAGCTGCAAGTCGCTTGGGGTATGTCTCTATCAGTTTTGCACATTGAGAGAATGGAATTCTTTCCCATTCTTCCTTGCAAAACAGCTCACGCTCAGTGAGGTTGGATGGAGAGCGTTTGTGAACAGCAGTCTTCAGCTCTTTCCACAGATTCTCGATTGGATTCAGGTCTGGACTTTGACTTGGCCATTCTAACACCTGGATACGTCTATTTGTGAACCATTCCATTGTAGATTTGGCTTTATGTTTTGGATCATTGTCCTGTTGGAAGATAAATCTCCGTCCCAGTCTCAGGTCTTTTGCAGACTCCAACAAGTTTTCTTCCAGAATGGTCCTGTATTTGTCTCCATCCATCTTCCCATCAATTTTAGCCATCTTCCCTGTCCCTGCTGAAGAAAAGCAGGCCCAAACCATGATGCTGCCACCACCATGTTTGACAGTGGGGATGGTGTGTTCAGGGTGATGAGCTGTGTTGCTTTTACGCCAAACATATCATTTTGCATTGTGGCCAAAAAGTTCCATTTTGGTTTCATCTGACCAGAGCACCTTCTTCCACATGTTTGGTGTGTCTCCCAGGTGGCTTGTGGCAAACTTTAAACAAGACTTTTTATGGATATCTTTTAGAAATGGCTTTCTTCTTGCCACTCTTCCATAAAGGCCAGATTTGTGCAGTGCACGACTGATTGTTGTCCTATGGACAGACTCTCCCACCTCAGCTGTAGTTATCTGCAGTTCATCCAGAGTGATCATGGGCCTCTTGGCTGCATCTCTGATCAGTCTTCTCCTTGTTTGAGATGAAAGTTTGGAGGGACGGCCGGGTCTTGGTAGATTTGCAGTGGTCTGATACTCCTTCCTTTTCAATATAATTGCTTGCACAGTGCTCCTTGAGATGTTTAAAGCTTGGGAAATCTTTTTGTATCCAAATCCGGCTTTAAACTTCTCCACAACAGTATCTCGGACCTGCCTGGTGTGTTCCTTTGTCTTCATGGTTCTCTCTGCGCTTTAAACAGAACCCTGAGACTATCAAAGAGCAGGTGCATTTATACGGAGACTTGTTTACACACAGGTGCGTTCTATTTATCATCATCAGTCATTTAGGACAACATCGGATCATTCAAAGATCCTCACTGAACTTCTGGAGTGAGTTTGCTGCACTGAAAGTAAAGGGGCCGAATAATTTGCACGCCCCACTTTTCAGTTTTTTATTTGTTAAAAAAGTTTAAATTATCCAATAAATTTTGTTCCACTTCACGATTGTGTCCCACTTGTTGTTGATTCAAGACAAAAAATTAAAATGTCATATCTTTATGTTTGAAGCCTGAAATGTGGCGAAATGTTGAAAGGTTCAAGGGGGCCGAATACTTTCGCAAGGCACTGTATATATATATAAAAAAAAAAATTGTCCACTCACCTTTGGCCCTCCGCGGGCAGTTATCCCTCTCTAAGCTCGGGTCCTCTACCAGAGGCCTGGGAGCTTGAGGGTTCTGCGCAGTATCTTTGCTGTTCCTAGCACTGCACATTTCTGGACCGAGATGTCCGAGGTTGTTCCGGGGATCCGCTGTAACCACTCATCTAGCTTCGGGGTCACTGCCCCGAGTGCACCGATCACCACGGGCACTACTGTCACCTTTACCCTCCAGGCCCTCTCCAGCTCCTCTCTGAGACCTTGGTATTTCTCAAGCTTTTCATGTTCTTTTTTCCGGACATATATATATTTGGATCTCATTTGTTTTTCTTTTCTCTTGTTCATAACTTTGACAAAAACAAATGACTTCTTCTACTGTTTATATTTTTGCGGCGGCTGTGGAGCAGTGGAGCAGAGCATGTGAGATTTGTCTGTGACAGTGAAGCCTCCTCTGACAGACAAAGAGCAGTTTGTGAAGGGTAATCATATATTTGCTGAATTTGTCCCAGGAAGTCTATTGAAATATTGCCTCTATCAAATAAATACATAAACACATCTATGAAAACATTAAAATACAATAATAACAACATGTCTTGATGTGTATGACAAGATCCAGCAATAACAGTGGCCTACACATGTGCATACAAACCAGCACACATACACACACACATACATACTTGTAAAATAGAAAACATGGGGACCTCTCGTTCTAGTGTGATTAGTGAGGACTTGATTATCTACACCCCCACACATATACACATACAAACACACACACACTCACATACTTGTAAAAGAGAAAACATAGGGACCTCCAAGGGTGATTAATGATTATCTACACCCCCATACACACACACATAGACACATACACACGCACACACATATGCACACACACACACACACACGCACTGATCCACTAACACTCCTCTGCTTTCTTTTATTATTCATTATTTGTATCCATTAGCATGTTTAGCATTGTCTCTGTATAATGTAATGTGTCACTTGATGCTTCCACTCCCTCTCAGTCCTCCCCCTCTTTTACCCCCTGCATTCACTCGTATTTCCTGAGCCTGTTCAGTCTCTTATTGATTTTTTTTTTTTTTTTTTTACAGTGTGTAGATAATGGAAAACACACACAATAATCAAAAACACACCTTGACGGTCATCTCTGCGACAAAGATGGCGGTAAAGACGTAGTTGGAGATGGTCAGAAGAAGCCGCTCCTACAAAGAAACATTTATTTATGGTTAGATGAGATAAGCGTAAATGCATTAGTGATTAAACAAACGGTGCTACAAGAGAGTCTGGAGGGGAAAGTAAAGCTAGGGTATCTAACTTTCAAACCACAATGGATGGATCGATGCTTACAAATCTATCTCACTCATCCCTTGATCTCAGAACAGATTTCAAGTGAATGTGTTTTTGGCCTCTTTAGATCAGCTTTTTCACACAGAAAAGTGACAAAGAGAGGACCTCCCTCACTCAGCCAATCAGCTCTCAGCCCAAAGACTCAAATAGTGGCTCACAGGGCTTTTTCTCACAGGTATGCCAGAGATAAATGGATTAATGGGAAAGAAGATAGATGGATGGATGGACAAAGGAGCCATTTGTCCAAAGAAATGTCCAGAAATGTCCTGGATCATCACTGTCCTTAGACCAGGGGTGGGCAACTATTTTTTACCAGGGGTCCTAGTTGGGGGCCGGACTCGTTTTGTTAATTCTGTTAAAAGTTAAACCTGAAGATCTCCAATATTTAGGTTTGCGTAAAGAGGGTTGGCTGATTTTTCGCATCTGCAGCTAAATTATTAATATTTACATTTGGATTGTATTTTTTTATACTTGATTCACTTGTATTGAACCAAAGCTGGACCAACGCTAAAGAAGGCTGAGTATTGTGGTCAGATGAACTTTTAGGTAAAACATAACACTGTAGCACTCATTAAGCTCCAAACATTCAGAGTGATTTCCATTCATGTAAATAGGGAGAGACAGAAGGAAGTGTGAGGATGGGAAAAAGGTCCGAGGGCCACATAGAAACATGAATCTGGGCCGTATGTGGCTCTCGGGCCGCACCTTGCCCTGGTCTGCCTTAGACCCTCCTGCTTCGGGAAAGACCAGGTGTTTTAATCTCAGCATTTTACTTTGGAATTTCTGTTTCATGTATTATTCATGACAAACATGTTAAACTTTCAGAAACTGCAGAAATACACCTTTGTTTTGGAGTTCAGCAGCTGAATCAAAGACAGGAGCTAAAATCATTTAGAACTCTGTTTTGAGTTGTGTTGGTTTGTGTTGGTTTGGGGAGGAGGAGGACTGACCAGACTTCCCTGCAGGATCCGGGGCCGCTCCAGAGCCACCGTGATGCAGTTCAGGAAGATGAAGACCAGGACCACGTAATCAAAGAGTTTATGAGCGATGATGGACTGACACAGCAGCCGGAACCTAGACACACAGAGACACACACACGGAGACACACACACACACACACAAAGACAGACAGGGACACACACATACAGACAGACAGATACACACACACACACACAGACAGACGACACACACACACACGCACAGACAGACAAAGAGATACAAACACACAAAGACAGATTCAGTATATTTGCCATTTACCTTTTTAAAAACATGTTAAACTGATAAATGAACAGTTTTAAATGAGACTAACTGGTTTTGTCCCGGTGGAAAATCTTGTTTTAATTCAGTCAAACGTTGTAAAACACTGTTTGAGTCTTTGCCGAGTTAGAGAGATTTTTATATGACTGAACAGAACGAGTCCATTGCTCAGATCCCATGGACCTTTAAGAAACACCTTTAGAATAATCTGTGAACAGAGAGAGAGAGAGAGAGAGAGAGAGAGAGTGAGAGAGAGAGAGAGAGTGAGTGAGACAGAGAGAGAGAGAGCGCGAGAGAGACCAAGAAAGAGAGAGAGACAGAGAGAGAGGGGGAGAGACCAAGAGAGAGAGAATGAGACAGAGAGAGAGCGAGAGGGAGGGGGAGAGACCAAGAGAGAGAGAGAGACAGAGAGAGAGAGAGGGGGAGAGACCAAGAGAGAGAGAATGAGACAGAGAGAGAGCGAGAGGGAGGCGGAGAGACCAAGAGAGAGAGCATGAGACAGAGAGAGAGAGGGGGAGAGACCAAGAGAGAGAGAATGAGACAGAGAGAGAGAGCGAGAGGGAGGGGGAGAGACCAAGAGAGAGAGCATGAGACCGAGAGAGAGCGAGAGGGAGGGGGAGAGACCAAGAGAGAGAGAGAGACAGAGAGAGAGAGAGGGGGAGAGACCAAGAGAGAGAGAATGAGACAGAGAGAGAGCGAGAGGGAGGCGGAGAGACCAAGAGAGAGAGCATGAGACAGAGAGAGAGCGAGAGGGAGGGGGAGAGACCAAGAGAGAGAGCATGAGACAGAGAGATACAGAGACGGCAAGAGAGAGAAAGACAGACACAGAGAGAGACAGAAAGAGAGAGACTGAGGGAGAGAGAGACAGACAGACAGAGAGAGAGAGGGATTGAGGGGGAGAGACCAAGAGAGTGAGTGAGACAGAGAGAGAGACCAAAAGAGAGAGAGTGAGACAGAGACGGCGAGAGAGAGAAATACTGACACACAGAGAGAGATACAGACACAGAGAGAGCGAGAGAGAGAGAGAGAGATATGACATTTAAATCACCGTTTTACACAAAGACAAAGACACCGTTTGTGAGGATAATTATGGAGGAAAAGAACACAGGAAGAAGAGCAGCGTTCTGTGACTGATGACATCACAGGAGATTCACAAAGTTTGGAAATGACAAAAAAATCTGATGTATTTTATGGATTTCACTGCACTCTAAAAACACAGTGGAACGTATAGCAATATGTTTTCAAACCGATATTAGTCAGAATTAACTTTGATCTGTTGGAACTCAACCAAAACCATAGTATCTGCGTCACCTCAACAAGTGCTCTCTCTCTATTCTGTCCCTCTGGTCTCTCGCTGGTTTCTCTTTCTCTCTCTCGTCTCTTGCTGGTATCTCTCTGTTTTCTCTGGTCTCTCGCTGATTTCTCTTTCTCTCTGGTTTATCCCTGTTCTCTCTCTGGTCCCTCTCTCTTTAGTTTCTTTCTCTCTGGTATCTCTCTTGTCCCTCTCTCTCAAAAGTCTCTATCCTCTAGTTTCTTTCTCTCTGGTTTCTCTCTTTCTTCTCTCTGGTTTTTCTCTTGTCCCTCTTTCTCACAAGTCTCTATCCGCTAGTTTCTTTCTGGTTTCTCTCTCTCTTCTCTCTGGGTTCTCTCTGGTCTCTTTCTGGTTGTTCTTTCTCTGGTCTAGAGAGACACAGAGAGAAACCAGGGAGAGACCAGAGAGAGAGACTATACCTTTACCTTCTCTACTGTTAACGTTAAGAATGAAAAAGTGTGTTTGCTCTGACGCACACACACACACACAAACGGGTGATAACTTTACCCCTTCATGCGTCCCGGCTTTACCCAGACTCATAAATACAGTTTGACACCCCTCCCCTACAGTCTCTTACAAAGCAGGAGGTGTGTTTGGATCCAGCCTCTGCTCGTTCTAGTCTTTATCAGTTTGGATCCGTTTGTGGTCGCGGGTAAATCCCTCAGACACTTATCTGCTGCTGTCTGTGGAGCTGTTCTCTGCTCACTCTGTCACACGGCTCCCACAGAAACAAATCAATGTGCTAATCTGAGCGCCTCTCTCCCGACCTGGCAACCCCCGTCCCTTTATCTGGCAAGTGTGTCGCCTGTTATCGAGCGGACCCCCGCGGGAGATTCGGTCAGGGGTCTCAGAGATGTGTTTACTGCCGCTGACACCGGAGCCTGGATCAGATTCTCACTGTGGCCGGAAGAAGCTGCAGCCGAGGCTCGGAATCCTGTTTGGATCAAACTAATTATACAAAATGGCCGCTTTAAACAGATTTGAATCGAGTTACTACACTGCTGCACTTAGTATGAATTAATTACTATTGTTAGACACTTTTAACATTATGTGTTGGTAATAGTTTTTCTCTCTGGTCTCTCTCTCCCTCTGGTCCCCTGTCTTTCCCTCTCTCTGCTGGAGGCGGGGTCTCTCTCTCTGGTCTCTCTCTGGTCTCTGGTGTCTGGCTGACAGAGCGCCCGGGGGGGCCGCAGGGGGGGGGTTTGCGCGGTCGGGGGATGAAGGTCTCTGTTGGGGGCCTCGCGGAGCCGCGGCGCCGCCTCCGCGGCGGCTTCGCGGCTGGCGACGGCCGGCTCATCGCCTCGTGTGGAGAGGCTGGGATTCGTCAAGCATGGGGGGGCGCTGGACGCCTGAGCCCCGACGATCGGGTAGGGGGGCGGCTTCTGAAGTGGGGCGGGGGCCGGCCGACGGTAGGGGAACGGGGGGAGCGTAGGGGTCTGGACGCGGGGGCCAGGAGAAGGACAGGAGGAGGAAGCGGCGGGGCGGGGCGGGGGCTGCGGCTAGGGGCGGCATAGGGGGGGAGACCGGCTGAGGAGGGGGGGGGGAGGGAAGGTTGGGGGCGTGTGAGGCGGGGCGGGCAGCTATCTGGGGCCGGGGGCGGGCCAGAGTGTATCCCGGGTGAGGAAGTGGTAGCCAGCTTGGGGCGGTGGGCTCAGGGGGGAGTGGTAGGGTAAGTCAGGGCGATGTGTCGAGGTTCTAGTGCGCTAGGCGAGGCGTGGGACGGGGCCGCGGGGGGTAGGGAGTGTGGAGGGGGGGGTGGCGGCTGATGTGGTGAGGGCCCCCGGGTTCGTTGGGGAGGTGCTAGGGGCTTGGCCTCTGGGTTGTCCTGCGACTCTCCGCGTCTTGGGAGCGGTCGGCTGGGTCGACGTATGATCGCACCGGCGGGAGGGTTCTGTGGGCGGGGGAGGGCGCCGGCGGGGCCCGATGCGTATCATGTTGTGCGGCGCACCCTCTGGGGTGCCAGTGAGCGCGTGCGTGGCCTTGGGTGAGCGTGGACCGCGTGTCTCGGAGAGAGTCGGGGGTATGAGGCTTGGTGTTATCGCCCGGCGAGCCCTGAAAGGGCCGGGGCCCGGGACGGGGTGGGGGGCCTCCAGAGGAGGGGGCTGGCGGCCGTGGGACGAGGGGGCCCCCCGCTGGTCAGAGGAGTTCGGTAGCCCGTGGCGGCCCGTGCGACGGGGTGCCCAGTCCGTCAGTAGGGCGCGGCTTTTTTCATTGTTGTCGGGGCCTTTCGGGCAGTTGGGGCACTGTAAGCCGGGGGGTGCAGCACCGCGCAGAGGGGCGGGGCCTTCCGGAGGGGGTGCTCCGCCAGAGCGGTTCCTCGCGAGGTGGTTTTTGGATGTGGGTTCGGTTCTCTGGACGCGTGGGTGGCGGCCAGGTCAGGGTCGTCCGCCCTACTACATCCTCCCCACAGGTTAGTGGGGACTTGGCGTGTGGGGTCTGGGGCGGGGGGGACGGGCGCCATCTTGAGGTATGGCGAGGGGGGGTTTGTTGGTTTGTGTTGGCAGTGGAGCCGCTCGCAGGGGACCGAAGTTCTCTGATTTCGTCGTATCCGTGTCTCGTTGTCGTAAGTGAGGGCTCGTATCAGCATCCGGCTGCTGGAGTTCTCTCCTCGGGTATTTCGCGCTGGGGTAGGGCGGTTGGTGACTCGGGCGTGGTCAGGAAGCTGGGGGGGCCGAGGCGCGGCTTGGCTTTTACGGGTGGGGCGCGGTTTGCGGGAAGGTGTGGGGGTCGAGCATGGCAGGAATTAGCGGCAGGGATGAGTGGGGGCTGGGTGTGGTGGTTGGGGGGTTGTGTGGGCCGCGGAGAGGGGGGGGGGATCATGGTTAGGTAGTGCGGTCCGGAGTGTTTCGGGGGTGGTTGGGAGGTTCGATGTTGTGTGGGAAGGGGGGGGGGTGAGGGTGGCTGCGGAGGCAGGGTCGGCTGGTGGCCGATGGTGTCCCGGGTAGGTGGGTGGGGGGGGCTTGAGGGAGTGTGGGGGGGGATGAGCTGCTCAGTATCTTGGATGGTAAAAGGTGACAGTACACAGTGCCCAGTGGTGATTGGTGCACTCGGGGGCAGATGACCGCCCGAAGCTAGAAGAGCCTCCCTGGAACAACCGCGGTCCTCTAGTGCTCTACCCTCAAGCCTTGGTGAGGATCCGAGTGTAACCCCCCGCGGGAGGGTCCAAAGGTGAGTGGACTCTAACAACAAACACTGAAAAAATGGAATTTGCTGTAGCTGAGCCTGTGTAGCCTCTAGCTGTGTGCCTCTAGTCTATACAGCCGTGTCCTCTAGTCTCTACTGCCTGTGTCCTCTAGATTCTCTACAGCCTTGTCCACTAGTCTCACAGCCTGTTTCCTCTAGTCTCTACACCTTGGTCCTCTAAGTCTCGACATCCTGTTGTCCTCTAGCCTCTAACACCTGTGTCCTCTAGTCTCTACAGCCTGTGTCCTCTAGCTTCGACAGCCTGGTCCCTAGCCTCACAGCCTGTCGTCCTCTATCTCAAAGCCTTATGTCCTCTAGTCTCTACAGCCTGTTGCCTCTAGCCTCTACAGACTTTCCTCTAGTCTACTACAGCCTGATGTCCGGCTACCTCTACAGCCTGTGTCCTCTTGTCCTACAGTCCTGTGTCCCTCTATCTCTACAGCCTGTGGCCTCTAGCCTCTACAGCCTGTGTCCTCTAGCCCCTCTACAGCTTGTAAAAACAAGCAAGCAAAAAGTGCCTGAACAATCGTAAAAACAAAAGCGGTTTTGATGGCCTCCATGTTGTTTCTGATGTAAACACAGGTCGCGCGTGTGACGTCAGAGCAGCACGCTGGTAGTGACGTACAGCCAAATACTCCGGTTATTTATGTCCACACTCAAACGCATAACCGGAGAATTCCCAAATCTTCACTTTGGCCGGAGTTTTCAGAAACCTTCGTTTTTATCGACAGAAAACTCCGGGTTTGTGTGGATGATAGGCCAGATCGTAGGAAAATATCTTCGGTTTGTGAGATACCCTGCTACGTGTAGACGGGGCCTCAGGCCCGTGAGCCAAATCCGGCCCCCAAGACCATTTTAGTGGCCCCAAAAATGATTTTCAATGATCATTATCACAGTAACTTGCAGCATTGATGGTGATGGGCTACTATGGCATGTTATACATAATTTTTAACTCTATGTTCTCAAATGTTAACTAATAAGTAATTATCAGTTAGTTAAGTAAATTTGTTTAATACATTTAACTATCAATCTTCCAATACATCTCATTTTTGATATTTGGCCCAAAGAAAAAATTTCAAATTTCAAATACAAAAAAAACCAACTGTTGTACTTCTGGCCCCAACCAGCTCTTATGTTTTTACATTTGGCCCCAGACCAAAATGAGAGTTTGATACACCTGGTTTAGGCAGCGTGAGTGGTTTTAATGTCGAACAAATGGTTCAATTTCAATGTATTTTTCTACAGCCCTAAATCACAGCAGCAGTCGTCTCGGAGGACTTTGCAAAGTTGCTGATTCATCAACAACAGACCAGAGAATCAAACCGTTTAAACACAGGAAAAGCAACAATAACAAACACATAGGAACGGGATGACCACTGCCCAGAACTGATGCAGAAATGAAATATCCCGGATCATCACCACTGTCATTACACCAGGGGTCACCAACCTTTTTGAAACCAAGAGCTACTTCTTGGGTACTGATTAATGCGAAGGGCTACCAGTTTGTTACACACTTAAATAAATTGCCAGATATGGCCAATTTGCTCAATTTACCTTTAATTCTATGTTTTTACTAATAATTAATGATATTTATTTTGTGGAAAAACTTTTATATTTTCTCTAAGTGCACATTTTTCAAATTTAACAAATGATCACTTTTAATCATTTAATCGCAATTAATCACATTTTAATCGCATATAAATATTTGACCTGAGAACAGTGAGAAGTAATTTTTTTCACATGGATTTTTAGTTTACCATTGAATAATGACTGAATACATGAGGCTTAAGCAACACATGTTAATATGGAGTTTAAGGGATAACTTCTAAACATCGAATAACGTTTCTGTCATTGCCTCCACACTCTGACGACAACATATGCTCCTCCTCCTCCTCCTCACTCTGACGACAACATATGCTCCTCCTCCTCCTCCTCACTCTGACGACAACATATGCTCCTCCTCCTCCTCCTCCTCACACTGACGACAACATACTCTTTTTAAGCCCAAAATCCACTGCACACGCTGTGAGCACTAAAGCTGGGCATGCGCTGTTTGCTAAAGCTTTTATAATACGTTTTTGATGTGTGCATTCGGAGTAAACATCAGCATTAGCAGCTCACACACCTGTGTCTCGCTACTCCTTCTCCTCCTCCTCCTCCTCCGCTCACACAGGAGTCACTGCTCCTCCTCCTCACACACAGAGTCCATCGCTCCATACACAGCGCTCATTCCCGTCTAATTTACTCGAATTTAAAGTCGGTCTCTGCTTGTAATAATGTACTTTTGAACAAGAAAAGTCACGGAGCTCCGGTTGGTGCGTCAGTTCAATTGGTCCGTCTGAAACTTATTCAGTGCGGAACGTTCCGCGGTGCAAAAATACATACGATTAAAATGCGTAATTTTTTTAACGCGCTTTTTTGTGTGTAATTAATTAATCTTTATTAACTTGTTAAAGTCCCGGCTCTAGTTTATATGCCATTTGTAAGTTGCATGTAAGTATGATTTAAACAAGAATAGCACTGGCAAGTGCTGCCATTTGAGCTATTTTTAGAACAGGCCAGCGGGCGACTCATCTGGTCCTTGCGGGCGACCTGGTGCCCGCGGGCACCGCGTTGGTGACCCCTGCCTTACACCCTCCTGAATCGTTAAGGAAGTTTATGGGAAGACTGAGGTGGGTATGGATTTTCCCCTTATCTGATGTCCATGCCCCCCCTCCATGTGGGGCTGGCCTGCTCCTGGCGGACCCCCCTGGACCAGCCCAGTGGAACCTGAGAGTGACCTCAAACACACTATACACAGAGCGGAAGGAATTTGGGAATGTTTGTGTTTGGTTAAGACCCAGATCCTTAGTTTGATTTTCTTATGAAGACGGCGAGTGATTGAGCTAGAATCCACAGGTGAGTAAAGCGGCCAAAGAGTGTTAGCTAGGTAAGAGTTAGCACAACCACATGCAGAAGGCTATCGACAAAACAAACCCACTTTGTACTTTTTATGCATGAGAAAATCTGACGTATATGGACAGACTTTGACTATTTAAAGATGAAGTTACACACACATTGTTTTGTATCTTCTCTCTTTGCTTTATAGAAGTCATACTTTGAGTGACTCCTCCACCGCACTCAGCAGCAGATCTGAAAGTCTGAAAGTGCAGCTTGATAAACCCTAAATCTATAACGAGTCCGGAGACAGAATTATCCTCACACTTTGTCTCGTTAAACTGTTCACAGCTCATGTTTGGCACAATGCTTTTGGCTGCGTCTCTCCCATCTCTATCTTTGAATCCAGCCCTCGTGTGTCCGTCTATTTGTCTTCTCTGTTGCTGTAGAATCTTAGTGACTACACAAAAGTATGTAACAAATGACTTGGGTCCATGAGGGACGAGGGAGAGCTGCGATCTTCTGACGCTCAGGATGGACTGAAAGAGAAGCAGCAGAAGAAGACTAGAGATTGGTGATGGCTCTCTCCTGTTTCAAATATGTAAAAGTATTTGTGTAAACCCTCAGTCGTACAGGGATTAGTCAAAGCAAAGGAAGGTTTCTCACCCATCATCTGTACTTCTTAGCAAGTTTTCCCGACGTTTCGTCCTCAATCTAGAGGACTTCTTCAGGGAATGAATTCTCAGACCGCGCGTTGGAGATTTATAACCTATGGGTGTGGTTAGCCACACCCTAATCCTGATACTAACTCATAAACAATCTAAGGTCTGCTTGATGTAGAAGGGAGCAGGTCTAACGACCCTGCTGAGGCTAACGACCCTAACTCATTCAGTCGTTTCTGTAGAGTTTGTTTAGTTAACTAAACAAACTCTACAGAAACGACTTTACCAACATCGTAGAGAAAACTCTAGTGGGCCACAGTCGGCTGTTCATCTCCACCTCAAGGCCTCCAACCACACGGAGGACACCGAGGTTAAAATTCTGGCTCGGGAGAAGAATTGGTTTGAGAGAGGGGTGAAAGAAGCCATTTTTGTGAGGAAACAAAAACCTTCTCTTAACAGAGGAGGAGGGTTAAGATTTGTTTTGCCTCGCATCTATGACGACATCCTAAAAGCAACGCCCTAACTTGGGACAAGGTCAGTGACATGCTAATGAGTTAGGAGGGGTGAGACCTGCACTCCACTTGAGCATCCCAGCAGACAATAGGTCTGTGACATGCTAATGAGTTAGGGTCGTTAGCCTCAGCAGGGTCGTTAGACCTGCTCCCTTCTACATCAAGCAGACCTGAGATTGTTTATGAGTTAGTATCAGGATTAGGGTGTGGCTAACCACACCCAGAGGTTATAAATCTCCAACGCGCGGTCTGAGAATTCATTCCCTGAAGAAGTCCTTTGGATTGAGGACGAAACATCGGGAAAACCTGCTAAGAAGTACAGATGATGGGTGAGAAACCTTCCTTTGCTTATGTAAAAGTTTTCTCTACCCAGACGTAAACACAACCTTGGAGTCTCAACCTAACATCTAATAATCTCAGTCTGTTTATAGAGTTAAAGCTGCATTACCTCATTTATTACCTTATTTTCGTATTCATTACAAAAATTCAATCTATATCCATGCAGTGCATTGGGATATACGTCCTTTTGAAGAAAAAGCAGGGCAGATTTGTGCTGGCATATCATTTAATTTTAGATCGAGTTTTCGTGCAACAAGGACGAGAATTTGTTTCAGGACCAGATTGTGATCAATCACAGCAGGCCTAAGAACTCAAAAAAGATCTCGTTTTGATTCTCAAATCATCCATCCATCTTCTTCCGCTTCATCCGTTGCCGGGTCGCGGGGGCAGCAGTCTAAGCAGAGACGCCTAGACTTCCCTATCCACACACACTTCCTCCAGCTCGTCCGGGGGGACCCCAAGAAGTTCCCAGGCCAGCTGAGAGACATAGTCCCTCCAGCGTGTCCTGGGTCTTCCCCGGGGCCTCCTCCCGGTGGGACGTGCCCGGAACACCTCCCCAGGGAGGCGTCCAGGAGGCATCCGGAACAGATGCCCGAGCCACCTCAACTGGTTCCTCTCAACGTGAAGGAGCAGCGGCTCTACTTCGAGCTCCTCCCGTGTGACTGAGCTCCTCACCCTATCTCTAAGGGAGCGCCCAGCCACTCTGCGGAGGAAGCTCATTTCGACCGCTTGTATCCGCGATCTCGTTCTTTCGGTCAATACCCAAAGCTCATGACCATAGGTGAGGGAGGGAACGAAGATTGACCGGTAAATCGAGAGCTTTGCCTTTCGGCTCAGCTCCCTCTTTACCACAACGGTCCGATACAGCGACCGCATCACTGCGCACGCTGCACCGATCCGCCTGTCAATCTCACGCTCCATCCTCCCCTCACTCGTGAACAAGACCCCGAGATACTTGAACTCCTCCACTTGAGGAAGGACTGAAGGACATACTCATTTCCCCGCATCTCAGCCGCCACGGGTTGGAGATGTTGTTTTGTTGTTAATGATTCTCAAATCATTAACAACAAACAAGGAATAAAACCAGGATTTCTATCTTTGTGAAAAAAGTGTTGGTCATAGATTTGTTGTTGACAAAACTCTTTATTCAGATTTAATGGACCCAGCTGGATTCGTCTGCATATCTGGCAACTCGAGTTGTTATTTTGCATTTCTGTGTTTTGGGCTCATTTCATTTTACCCTCGTGACACTGAGTGAAAGAATAGTGACATGTGAAGCGTCTTTGAGTGTCCAAAAACGCGTTATATAAAAAACCAATACAATAGAATTCAAATGGTTTGAAAGAGAGCCATCAAATTGACTGCTCTGGTAGTTGTAGTAGTTTTAGAATTCTGAAGTCCAATTGTAAATCCGTTAAATGCATGTCTGAGTCCGTCTCTTACTGTTTTTTTGTTTATGCTGAAATCTGCCATTTACAAGCAGGTAATAATAAAATCCAAGCCTTTGTTTTGTTTTGAAGACTTTACAAACCGCAACCCTGGACTCACTTCTCTTTCCCCGTGAAACGCGTCTGACATTTCACAGAGAAATGAAATCGATGTGTTGCGTTTAGCTGCCGCGTCTGGCCTCGCTCTGTTTACCGCCGCGCTCTGTGGGACCGGCAGTGTTTTGTGGACGCTAACGAGTGCTGAGCTCAGTCAAACCATGGCTAATGATGCGTCCAGTGTTAGCCGCCGCGCTAACGGTGAGGGATGCTAGCTGTCATCACAACCGCAGACACATGTGGGGAGAGAGGTGAGTGAGAAAGACAGCGCTACTGGATTCTGATCAGGTAATGCCACGCTTCAAATAGTACAGAGAAAGACAGAGAGACTAGAGAGAGAGACCAGAGAGAGGCACAAGAGACTTAAAGAGAGACCAAAGAGAGAGATAAGACAGTGAGACAAGGAGACAAGAGAGAGAGATGCCGGAAAAAGAGACCAGAGAGAGACTAGAGAGATCAGAGAGAGAGACCTTAGAGGGAGGCCACAGAGAGGCAGGAGAGAGACAAAGAGAGACCAAAGAGAGAGACCAGAGAGTGAGACTAGGAGACTGGAGAGAGAGAGAGAGAGACTGGAGAGAGAGAGACTAGAGAGACAGACCAGTGAGAGACCAAAGAGAGAGACCAGAGAGAGAGTGAGACCCAAGCGAGAGATTGGTGAGAGACTAGAGAGAGACTAGAGAGAGATGAAAGACCAGAGAGAGAGACTAGAGAAAGAAACCAGAGAAGAGTGAGTATAAACATTTGAGTGATATTGGCTCTCGTTGACAGATCTGGTCTCTTTTCTCGCCTTGTGTGTTCTTCTTGTGACAACCCTGGTCACAATCAGATCAAACGGATTGAAACCGCTGCACGTTCAAAGATTCTCTCTCGCGTAACAGCGCTTTGTCTGCTCATAAAATACATTATCTGGAAGCAAGGGTGAAACTGATGCAACCTGCTCCCACGGCCTAGCACATCTCATGACAGATGTGGTGCGGCTAACGGGAGCTAACAGGAGCTAACAAGAGCTAACAGTTGCCATACATGGAATGCATTCAAAAAAACCTATATCACTGTAAGAAGTGACGAAAAACTGCCTCTTCTATAGTATTTTCTGTGACCTCGGAAGCCACAGTTGGTGATTACAGATTATTCACACTGACCTCCAGTTTCTTAGAACTGTTCTGGGTCTTCTCACTCACTCTGGGATGTTTACACCCCATTGGTAACAGACTAAAGTCTCTAAACTAACTCTCAAAACTAACTTCACCTCGTACTCATTTTTGCACCACCCTCCAGGACTCCCTTGAAAAAGAAGTTTTAATCTCAATGGGAATTTCCTGGTTAAATAGGTTGAGTAAATTAAAATGTTTTTGCTTCAGTTCATGTGTGGACCGTAATAAACGTCACATTTAACTTGCGTTGAATTTTCCTAATTTGTCTAAATTCCCTTGAATAATATGAAGGACATGAATCACATTATATCGCAAAATGGAATCATAATACTCTCTGCATCGCACTTTTTACCTGTGTGTAAGGCGACCTTGAGTGTCGAGAAAGGCGCCTAATAAATAAAATGTATTATTATTATAGTTTTATTTTTATTATGATAAGAATTGCAATAATGTTGAATTGTGGCCCAAATATCGCAATACCATCAAATCGTCTCAATTCTTTCCATAGTTCCCAGCCCTCTGACTCCAGTCCCTCCTTATTCATATTGAATCGAATCGCAACACTCTCTGTATCGCACTATGTTAAGAATCGCCATTATATTGAATTGGTGCCAAAATATCTCAATAATATCAAATCGTCACATTTTTCCCATGGTTCCCAGTCCTCCCTCTTCAGGCTCATAGCGTGGTTCATCTCTGGAGCGCTGTCAGGCCCGCACACTCACACTGCTCTTTATAAGCCTCCTGATCCCTCTGCTTTGTCTGTGTGTCAATACTCCTGACGCCGTCACGGTGGGCGAGGGCTAAAAATACACGCCGCCGCCGAGATTCGCCGAGTTTAATGGAGACTGGAGACGTGGCGGAGCAGTGAGGTCCCAGCGTGCTCTGACAAGGCTGGAGGAAGTCATCTGGACCAGAAAGTCTAAATTAGTTTGAAGTTAATGATGGTTTTTAGATGTTGCACTGATTTAATAGAATGTATTTCTTTGCGTACGTCTTTACAGCGGCTGAATATTAATGTATATCTATTATGGATTTAGTCAAACTGAAAACTGTGCGACTCCTCTTCCCCTTGGAGTTTCAGAAGTCATTTTAAAATCATCTTTTCAGATCTTTGGTGTGTACTGATGCATCGGTTTCATGTAACACTTTTCAGGACTCTCAAAGACGCCTCACCTGTCACTATTCTTTCACTCCATTCAACTACTACAGTAGCCACAGCTGCCCTGGGGCACAGTCACAGAAGCGAGGCAACCAGTCTGTGCCATCGGCCTCTTCCACCACCACCAACCGTTCACACACACACCAGACTCATTATAATGTTGGGGAAGTGTCTTGCCTAAGGACACAACCACAGTTTGGCACTTTACAGCCACAGCCGCCCCACTGTGGCACCTGGTGTTCCCACCTGCTGATGGTGTAGTGCCTGCTGATGGTGTAGTACCTGATGGTGTAGTACCTGATGGTGTAGTGACTGATGGTGTAGTACCTGCTGATGGTGTAGTGCCTGATGGTGTAGTACCTGATGGTGTAGTGACTGGTACCTGCTGGTGGTGTAGTACCTGTTGATGGTGCTCGATGCCCATGCTGATGGTGTAGTACCTGTTGATGGTGTAGTACTTGCTGATGGTGTAGTACTTGCTGATGGTGTAGTACCTGTTGATGGTGTAGTACTTGCTGATAGTGTAGTACCTGTTGATGGTGTAGTACTTGCTGATGGTGTAGTACCTGTTGATGGTGTAGTGCCTGATGATAGTGTAGTACCTGATGGTGTAGTGCCTGCTGATGGTGTAGTGCCTGATGATGGTGTAGTACCTGCTGATGGTGCTCGATGCCCATGCTGATGGTGTAGTACCTGTTGATGGTGTAGTACTTGCTGATGGTGTAGTACCTGTTGATGGTGTAGTGCCTGATGATGGTGTAGTACCTGATGGTGTAGTGCCTGCTGATGGTGTAGTACCTGTTGATGGTGTAGTACTTGCTGATGGTGTAGTACCTGTTGATGGTGTAGTGCCTGCTGATGGTGTAGTACCTGCTGATGGTGTAGTGCCTGATGGTGTAGTACCTGCTGATGGTGTAGTACCTGTTGATGGTGTAGTACCTGCTGATGGTGTAGTGCCTGATGGTGTAGTGCCTGTTGATGGTGTAGTACTTGCTGATGGTGTAGTACCTGCTGATGGTGTAGTACTTGCTGATGGTGTAGTACCTGATGATGGTACTCGATGCCAATGCTGATGGTGTAGTGCCTGTTGATGGTGTAGTACTTGCTGATGGTGTAGTACCTGCTGATGGTGTAGTACTTGCTGATGGTGTAGTGCCTGTTGATGGTGTAGTACTTGCTGATGGTGTAGTACCTGTTGATGGTGCTCGATGCCCATGCTGATGGTGTAGTACCTGCTGATGGTGTAGTGCCTGTTGATGGTGTAGTACTTGCTGATGGTGTAGTACCTGTTGATGGTGTAGTACCTGTTGATGGTGTAGTACTTGCTGATGGTGTAGTACCTGTTGATGGTGTAGTACTTGCTGATGGTGTAGTACCTGTTGATGGTGTAGTACTTGCTGATGGTGTAGTACTTGCTGATGGTGTAGTACCTGCTGATGGTGTAGTACTTGCTGATGGTGTAGTACCTGTTGATGGTGTAGTACCTGTTGATGGTGTAGTACCTGCTGATGGTATAGTACCTGTTGATGGTGTAGTGCCTGCTGATGGTGTAGTACTTGCTGATGGTGTAGTACCTGTTGATGGTGTAGTACCTGCTGATGGTGTAGTACTTGCTGATGGTGTAGTACCTGCTGATGGTGTAGTACTTGCTGATGGTGTAGTACCTGCTGATGTTGTAGTACTTGCTGATGGTGTAGTACCTGCTGATGGTGTAGTACTTGCTGATGGTGTAGTACCTGTTGATGGTGTAGTATTTGCTGATGGTGTAGTACCTGTTGATGGTGTAGTACTTGCTGATGGTGTAGTACCTGTTGATGGTGTAGTACTTGCTGATGGTGTAGTACCTGTTGATGGTGTAGTACTTGCTGATGGTGTAGTACCTGTTGATGGTGTAGTACTTGCTGATGGTGTAGTACCTGTTGATGGTGCTCGATGCCCATGCTGATGGTGTTGATGAGGATGGCGATCATGATGCCGCGGTTGAAGTACTTGCTCTCCACGATGGCCCACAATGCCTTGCGGGTTTTGATCCACAGATGGGCGCCGCACATCCAATGGCGCCGCGCCCCCTCAGGCTCCTCCCCCTCCTTCTCCTCCTCTGGTTTGGGGCCCGTCCCGTCGCACTTGGAGCAGTGGGGGCAGGGCTCCGACTCTGGGCTCTCTGCTTTGGAGCGGTGGGGACACGGGAGAGCTGAGGGAAAAGACCGCAACGAGGTGAGACGCAGGAGAACTCTGAGGACAGGGAGGATCCTGGACGTTTATGGTCATGTGTGGACTATGCTCATTACAATATCTATGCACCAGTGACCAGAAAGATCAGAGAGAGACCAGAGACCGAGAGCAGAGAGAAGAGAGAGACTGAAGATAGAGCAGAGAGAGAGACCACAGAGAGACTGAGGAGAGAGAAGAGAGAGAGACCACAGAGACTAAAGAGAGAGAAGAGAGAGCGAGAGCAGAGAGAGACTGAAGAGAGAGAAGACAGAGAGAGACCAGTGAGACCAGAAAAAACAGTTAGAGAGCAGAGAGAGAACTGAGAGAGACTAGAGAGATCAGAAAGAGACCTGAGACAGGGACCAGAAAGAGACCAGAGAGAGACTAGCGAGAGATCGGAGAGATACCAGGGAAAACCAGAGAAAAACCAGAAAGAGACCAGAGAGAAACAACAGAGAAAAAAGAGAGAGACACCAGTGAGAGACCAAAAAAAAAACCAGAGAGAGACCAGTGTTCAAATCTGGATTGTATTTGGACTATAGATCTTTCATTATAATGATTGTTGTATATTTCATTCACACTAATGTTTTTCCATCAGGGTTTTTCATGGAGGTCGTGTGGCGTCTGTTCATTACTCATTTGCTGCGATGATTGACAGTGCTACGCTAATGCTAATTAACCAAAACAAAATGGGGGTGCGTGTCTGCAAGCTAAGTTACATATTAGGAATTCAGGTCCGGGCTCACGGTCTCAACGGAACATGTGGAAATGCAACAGATACAGACATGATGGAACTTTGGGAAGGTTTGAGAGAGTTTGTTTTAATTTGTTTGATTCACACCTGCAGGTACCACACAGAGTCAAGGAACAGCAGAAGGTTCAGACTCAGTCCTGGATCTACAGCCTCAGTCCTGGATCTACAGCCTCAGTCCTGGATCTACAGCCTCAGTCCTGGATCTACAGCCTCAGTCCTGGGTCTACAGCCTCAGTCCTGGCTCTCACCGTGTCTGCTCTTGGGCCTCTTCTCTCTGGGCTCTCGTCCGTTGACCCTCCTCTCTCGCCGCTCCTCGGCTCGCCCGCGGCCTGCCCCTCTGAATCCTCGGGGTTTCCCTCTCAGGGCGTACAGGAAGTTGACGGTCTGCCTCCGGAGCTTGCGCAGCATGTGGCAGACGAGCTGGAAGAGTTCCTCGTAGCAGTCTCCGGGCTCCGAGGCCAGCGTGGACATGGAGGAGCAGCGGGCCCTTTGTTCCTGCATCAGCTGATGCTCGCGCTGCTTGGTCTCAGAGAACTGTGTCGCGATGACCACGAGACACAGGTTTATCATGAAGAAGGAGCCCACCTGAGCACACACACAATCACTATGACTTTTAGAATGCATTGGTTTGATAAAGCGCTTTTTTCGGGACTCCCAAAGACACTTCACATGTCCTGCTTTAGTCCTGCTTTAGACCTGCTTTAGACCTGCTTTAGTCCTGCTTAAGTCCTGCTTTTGACCTGCTTTTGACCTGCTTTAGACCTGCTTTAGACCTGCTTTAGTCCTGCTTTAGACCTGCTTTAGTCCTGCTTTAATACTGCTTTAGACCTGCTTTAGACCTGCTTTAGTCCTGCTTTAGTCCTGCTTTAAACCTGCTTTAGACCTGCTTTAGACCTGCTTTAGTCCTGCTTTAGACCTGCTTTAGTCCTGCTTTAGTCCTGCTTTAGTCCTGCTTTAAACCTGCTTTAGACCTGCTTTAGACCTGCTTTAGACCTGCTTTAGTCCTGCTTTAATACTGCTTTAGACCTGCTTTAGACCTGCTTTAGACCTGCTTTAGACCTGCTTTAGACCTGCTTTAGTCCTGCTTTAGTCCTGCTTTAAACCTGCTTTAGACCTGCTTTAGACCTGCTTTAGACCTGCTTTAGTCCTGCTTTAATACTGCTTTAATACTGCATTAGTCCTGCTTTAGACCTGCTTTAGACCTGCTTTAGTCCTGCTTTAGTCCTGCTTTAAACCTGCTTTAGACCTGCTTTAGTCCTGCTTTAGTCCTGCTTTAGACCTGCTTTAGACCTGCTTTAGACCTGCTTTAGTCCTGCTTTAATACTGCTTTAATACTGCATTAGTCCTGCTTTAGACCTGCTTTAGACCTGCTTTAGTCCTGCTTTAGACCTGCTTTAGACCTGCTTTAGACCTGCTTTAGTCCTGCTTTAATACTGCTTTAATACTGCATTAGTCCTGCTTTAGACCTGCTTTAGACCTGCTTTAGACATGTAAAAATATCTGAACATTGTAAAGTGCTTTGGGTGACCTTGGTCTGTAAAATGTGCCGTATATCTATATGCCGTATATATGACATTTAAAGACATTGTTAACTATAAAAGCCTGCGGATCATGTTTGAGGCTGAATCAAACGTGTTTCCAGACAATGTTCAACAAACGAGATAGAGTTTAGGAGACTCAGAGATGTCTGTCGTTTCATGGGGTCAGTTGTGGAACAATCTCAGCAGAGAGATGAAAACATTTCATTACTTTTTTGTATTTAAGAAAGAACTTGTCACAGTCAATCCTGGACGGACACCGAACTGAACGATTGTGTTAAACTTGTAACTAACAAATGTGAATTCACTGAAATATGTGATACTTACTGAAACTTATACAATTTTTTTTACTTCTGCGTTGATAATAAATTAGCTGAACTGAATGTTGAAACCCGGACCACAGACTTTCCGGTCCCTTCCGCAGCGTCTAACATTCGTGAACCGAGTCTATGCAACACCAAATCTGTATGAAAACTCTGAAGAATAAACATCCCCAAGGCAAACACTATCAAAGCGAGTGGAGCTGCCGACGGTGGCCCTGAGGGGACATTTTAAGAGACAAAAAAGTCTGAATCCAAAATGTTGGGCATGTACTGTGACATTTCTCTGGCAGTGGTTTAAACTAAAGGCCACAAAAACATGTTCTCGTCTCGGCTGCAGGCGAGATTTCCATCACAAGTCACAGAAGTTTAAAATCTCCGACTCTCACCTCCATGGTGCGAGACCAGAGGAGGCCGAGGCACCATCTGCAGATCAAAACTAGTCTACAGTGAAAGGATAGACTTTACAATCACTGGTTTGTGTTTGCAGCTCCCTCTGGTCTCTCTCTCTGCTCTCTCTCTCTGGTTCCTGTCTCTCTCTAGTCTCTCTCTCTAGTCTCTCTCTGCTCTCCCTCTCTCTCTCTGGTTCCTGTCTCTGATCTCTCGAGTCTCTTTCTAATCTGTCTTTGGTCTCTCTCTCTGGTCTCTCTATCTCTCTAGTCGCTCTCTCGCTGATCTGCCTTTGGTCTCTCTCTCCATCGTCTCTCTCTGGTCTCTTTCTGTAGTTTCTTTCTCTCTGGTCTCCCTCTCTGATCTCTCTCTGGTCTCTCTCTCTGGTTCCTGTCTCTAGTCTCTTTCTCTAGTTTCTTTCTCTAGTTTCTCTCTCTCTGGTTGCTCTCTGACCTCTCTCTCCCTGGTTTCTCTCTCTCTCTCTGGTCTCTCTCATTGTAAGTGACTAGGGATGCACCGATCCGATACTGGTATCAATATCGGCGCCGATACCAGAAAAAATACTGGATCGGATATCTGCGTAGAGAGAGGCGCCGTGCTGCCGATCCATTTTCTTTTCTTTAAAAAAAAAAATTCTATATTTTTTTTAATACATACCAGGTACCGCACAATGTCTTAAAATACATTGTGCATAATGTAATGTACAATGAATTAATTAAAAGTAATTTATCAGATCTCACGTACACGTCACTTCCTCGTGGCGCTCTACAACAACAACAACACAGCATGGAGCGCAGGAAAGAATCAGCGTTGTTCACGCGGCGGTAAACTTGCGAAATGCAACACGACTAAGCACCACGAGAAACAGCACGGGGAGTTTTTGCATCGAAAGGAGATTACGTGAAAACAACGAGACACAGATGACACTGACGCAGCGTCACAAAAAGCTTTTCAGCAACAACCCCAAAGTGTTGGAGGTCATCATGGGCTCGCAGCCCCATAGACCATTTGGAACCCAGGTACATGCCGTCGCCAAATACATATCTGAAATCCAGTTAAAGCTACGGTACTATTATTTATTTACATTTTCATGCAGCGTGTTTTGTTTGTTGTAAGTGTTTTTTTATTCAAACACAGTTAATATAAGTATATTTATATTCAATAAATGTATACGGTATAATACAGTGTTGGAATGTTTAATGTGAACATTGAGAAGCTCTTTATAGTTGCAGTATTGCACATTTATGTTGAATCCATTTTTATCTGGAAAGTTTAGCGCTTTAGTTCATCCACTGCTTTTGCAGTTACTTGAACAAAGAGTTCAGTTATTAAATACATTTTAGCATGATTATTCCCGGTATCGGTCAATATCGGTATCAGCAGATACCCATAGCTCTGGTATCGGTATCGGTAGTAAAAAAGCTGGATCGGTGCATCTCTATAAGTGACACACAGTCTAAATCAAACCATCAGCCTGTGTAGAACTATGACATTTCTCTGGCAGAGGTTCAAACGAAAGGCCACACAAACATGTTCTCATCTCAAACAACTCCATCCAAAGTCAACAAAGTTCCACATCTACCGTCGCTGGCGTGAAACCGGAGGAGGCCGAGGCTTCTTCACCTTTTCTCCATGAATATTTGAAATCCACTTTATTTTCTGCAGCATTTTATCTTTGGATAAGCAGGTCGTAGCAGCAGTTGGTCTGGGCTCCACCACCGTCAAAAAACTATGAGGAAATTCCTGCATTGAATTCTAAAGCGCGACTGGAAAAAACGACGGGAATTTTTGGGAGACGAGGGCATGAAAATACAGTTCATGAGGATGAAGCAAAACAGCATCGATTATGACAGAGATTGGGAGGAGACTGCAGCTGTGGCAGTGGTACATGTGCCTTTGTCTGTTTTGTGGAGTGAGGACAGAGAAATGACACAGAGCATATGTGTTACTTACCATGAGCGAGAGACCCCAGAGAGAGAGAGAGCAGAGAGAGAGCGCAAGGAAAGGGAGATCAGAGAGACCAGAGTGAGAGAGAAAAGAGACAGAGCAAGCCCTGAGGGAGAGACTATAGAGAAAGAGATAAGAGAGAAACTAGAGTGAGGCTAGAGAGAGAGATACAAGAGAAAGGGAGAAAGACCAGACAGAGACTAGTGAAAAAAAGAGACTAGAGAAAGAGACTAGAGAGACGAGAGAAAGAGAGGGAGAGAGAGAGAGAGAAGAGAAAGGGAGAAAGACCAGAGAAAGAGAGACTAGAGAAAGAAAGAGACTAGAGAGAGACTAGAGAGTGAGAGAGACCAAAGAAAGGGAGACAGAACAGAGAGAGAGAGAGACTAGAGTGAGAGGGAGAGACCAGAGAGAGCGACTAGAGAGAGAGAGATTCAAGTGAGAGAGAGAGACTAGAGAAAGGGAGATAGAACACATAGAGAGAGACTAGTGAGAGACTGGAATGAGTGGGAGAGACCAGAGAGAGAGACTAGAGAGACCGGACCAGACCAGACCAGGATCTACAGCCTGTCCGTCTGTGTGAGTAGATTCCTCTCTCAATGTGGCTCTTAATTTTCCGTTTTTTTTCTCCACTTTTTTCGTACTGGGTTCTGAGGGTCTGAGGACAGTGATGATCCGGGACATTCAAGGACATTTATAAACATGTATTAAGCTTTCTGGACAGTAGTCACCCCGCTCCCTATGGACAAAAGGCTCCTGTGTGCTTGTTATTACTGCATTTGCTGTGTTTGATTCTCTCTCCTCTGAAACGACTGCTGTTGTGAGTTAGGGCCGTACAAAAATAAATTGAATTGAACTGAAATTGTCAATAGCTGCTCTAACTGGCGGCCTGCTAACAGCACACTTAGGATAATCAAAAAAAAACCTGTATAATTTTAGTAGCAGACAAGAACACAGCGGCCTCGTTTGGACTCTTAATAGAAGCTTTAACAATTCATCAGGACATGTTGGTCGTAAACCGAAGAAGAAAAATAACATGGAAAGAGGGTTTTAACATTGAAAATACTGAAGAAGGATCTCAGGCCATTTATGAAGAGCACCTTGGAGACAGAAACCTGACAGAAACCAGAGAGACTAGAGAGAGAGAGAGAGAGACAAGAGAGACTAAAGAGAGAGACCAGAGAATGAGAGACCAGAGTGAGAGAGACCACGTGAGAGAGACCAAAAAGAGATAGATCAGAGAGGGACCAGAGAGAGACCAGAGAGAGACCAGAGAGGGACCAGAAAGGGACCAGAGATAGGCCAGAGAGAGAACAGAGAGGGACCAGAGAGGGACCAGAGAGAGAGACCAGAGAGAGACCAGAGAGGGACCAGAGAGAGACCAGAGAGAGAC